TGTATTATATCAACTTCCTATAGGTTTTTATTACAGTGTTGTAGTAGAAATGATTCCAACTGGGCTATAGCAGTAAGAGATGAATTAAATAATCTAGGTCTTAGTGATGTTTGGTTAAATCCATGTATCTCTCAGCAAAATTTGTTATTACCATTGATAAAACAAATCATTTTTGATCAAGGCATACAATTCCTAAGGGCCACAGTGGAAACTCTCCAGAATGTTTATTGTATAAACATATAATAGATTTTGGAAAAACATTACAATGTTACCTCACAAAATATATACCAAAGAAATATCGCATTTGTTTAACTCGAATACGTACATCTACCCATTCTTTAGCTATAGAAGTTGGAAGGTATACTAATATAAATAATAATAATAATATACAACATTTGATATAGCGCCCTATCTAGCTAAGATAAGCCACTCTAAAGCGCTTTACAGTACATAGATATACAATTTTATACAGTCAATACAATTAGCATATATATATTAATCTATACAATATTGAGGAATTCGCAGGAGCTGCCTTATCAGGCGCTAACTACTAGTCCTATGCCACCTGGCTAATATCTCCATATGTGTGTATGTCTGTGCGTGTGCTGGAGATGTATTGTGTTCTGTTTGTAGTGGGACCGTGCTTCCAACGGTATCATTTATAGTGCCACCTCACTTGAATGCTACAGCATAGATACCGCAACACCCACCCCAGACCATTTTATACTCCACCTGGGTTGTTGGAGTTGTGTGGTTGTGTGGGCAGGAGAAAAACACTTTCTCTAATATTCCATGCGTACGGCGACTTCGGGGATCGAACCCAGGCCGCCTGCTTGGAAGGCCGGAGTGTTAACCACTCGACCAATCCGCCAATATATCTAGGGAATGTAGATATTGTAAACAGTGTAACTCCCCATCTGAAGTAGAGGACGAATTTCATTTTTTATTGGTCTGTTCTAAATTCCCAAATCTCAGATCTCGTTTTATCAAAAGCTATTATTAGAAAAAAACATCTGTGCTTAAAGTCGTCCAGTTATTGAGTGTCCATAATATTAAAGAATTGTGTATGCTAGGAAAATTCATATATGAGGCAAACAAATGAAGGGTATTATAATGGAATATGATTGTTTTCATCCTCTGTACATTGTCCATGATTTGTGTATAATATGTACTGTATACTGATGGGCCAATGGCCCAAAGTTTGAGTAAAACTTGAACTTGATACTACCTGTACGTGTTAGTTGGAGGATCGGTTATAAATGCTCTTTGGCAGAACATAACTTAGAGATGTCTTTGTTTGTCGATTGATGTCACATTGAACCCATACAACATAATTTGGTTGCTGTCATTACTTACACGGTTATGCAGATAATATATAGAATGGCAGGCGCGGATTGGGGGGGG